TCCGCCGACGCATTCGACGCGTGGGAATACTTTCTGCGCATCTTGCACGCCCCGCTTCTCTAGCGCACCAAACAACACAATCTCCGTTGGGCTCCTATGCGAAAGGCGTGCATTCGACCTCGCGAGCCTCGCCAGCTCTGGAACGCCTTCGCTGTAACCTGGCTTGGAGGCCGCGGGAACTGTCAGCGACCATGACGTGAACGCAATGCAAAGCCGACCGGTCCGCAGCGATGTCCTTCCTCCCGTGGTTTGCCTGGTCGGCCACCGAAAGCGCGTAGTTGTACGACGAATCGAAGGACGCCACTCGGAAGCTCAGCTGGTCAGTGAATTCCTTTCTGCATGCAGCAGTTACCTGGATCCCATCTCTATAATCCCCCAAAGAACTCGTGAGGCGCGAGGACGACCACCAGGAAAACGAAAACTACGGACAGAGAGAACGAGATAGAGAGAGAGAGAGATAGAGAGAGAGAGAGAGAGAGGAGCGAGGGAGGGAGGGAGGGGTGGAGGGAAAACGAAATAATACCAAACATCACGGCAAAAAAGAGCAAGTCATACGATACAAACGATGCGCCCTGCGGGGGAATCCCCTTCCCCATTGCGTGAAAAGGGGGGCGGTTGTGGGAAAAACGGTTTGCGCGAAAGGATGCTTTGATCGCAAATCATAGGAGACTCGTGCACCGTTGCCATTTGTCTTTCGCGCCCTCTAGTTTCGATTAGCGTCTAGCTTTGATATAGCTCCGACTGGCGTCGATTTCGCGTCGACTAGCGTCGATTTGAAAGCGCCGACAAGATGGTATGGCAGGCTCCGGCTCCCATGCGTTGCCACCGAATGACGGGGGTTCGGATCGCCGGGTGTTGTAGATGTTGGGGACAGGTGCGGCTTCGGACGCGTCGAGAAACGTAGGCTTCCAAGAACTTTTTGGAGCCATCTTGGCGCCCCCGTGTGGCCGTTTTGAGATATTCCGGGGCCCTCTTGTGGCGACGGGCCTTGGCTACCGTTAGCGGGTCATCTTTGAGCGCTCCGATCAAAGAATGGGCGCCCTTACGTTGCAGCTTGGTTCAGTGAGAACCAGAAAGATCGTTTCTTTGAGCATTATTGGGCGCTCTTGGGGCCCTCTTGAGCGTTTTTGGGGCCGTCTTGGAACTTTTCTGGGCCCCTCTTTGGGTTCTTTTGGGTGGCCATCGTGACGAGACCATTCGCATGCGCATGAGCGAGAAGGCACACAGCAGTTGGTTATTCAAATTTGGGAAGGATTGGGGCCTCTCGGCGGGCTTCCTTGGGGCGCTACTGGGCCATTTGGAGCCGTCTTGGGGAACTAGTGGAAAAACACTGCGCGGAACGATGGGGGGATGATGAGGAGGGGGATAAAGAGAAGTAGGAGGAGGACGACGACGAGATTCTTGCAGGGTCGTTGCAGGGTCTGGTTTGCGGAGTATCCCAGGGTTGTGCACGATCTCTTTGTTGAGTAGTATAAGGTCTTTGTAAATGAGCTTTGCAAAGTATTGACGGGGCTGCGCCGAGGTCCAGGGGAGAGGTTTAATAAGCCGAGGGGCCATTAGAAAACTGAAAGAGGACACGCTCGAGACCACCTCGGCCCAGAGGGCAGGTGGGCTCTGGCCCGCGGGGTCGGGGCTCGCATGTGGGTTGCCTTGGTGAGCCCTTGGATCCCCAGGCGGTGCGCTGACGGGGTGGCTCGGGAAAGTTTCCGGAGCCACGTCGTCGTCGTCGTCGCCGTATCGTGGTGCTCGTGATCGTCGCCGCCGCGGCCGCCGCCGCCGTCGTCGTAGCCGTGCTCGCTTGCCGTGGTGGTTGTTGTCGTCTCGTGGCTTCTGCATACACCTGAGCCGCGGGCCGCCGGGGCGGCCTCCCGGGATTCCCGCCAGGTCAAGTCGGCGCTGTCCGTGGCAAGGGGGCTCCGGCCAGACTTCTGCTTCGTGTCCAAGGAGCAGTTAGGGGGTGGGGGCGCCGGTCGCACGCATGCAGATTGGCCCACGGCCAGGCCGATCTGGGGCCCGGGATCGGCATCATTGCGTCGCTATGTTTACCAAGCCTCTTCCACTCAAGCCGGCCCACCCCGAGTCCGGGTTGGGGGAGGGACGGGTTCCATTCCGCGTGTTCTCCGAGGGTTCGGGGGTCCCCCCCACTAGGAACTGACAGGGCCAACGGGGACTTCGAGTTGGGTGGGGGCGGCGGTTGGTGGTTAGTAAGTCCCCCCCCTCAGTTGAGGAACAGGGACCTCCGCCACCGAGAACCTATCGGGGGGGCGACCCCTGGGCGGTGGCACGCGGGAGCGGCCCCCTCCCCGACTAGCGTTGACTAGCGTCGATTCGAAGAGCCGACAGTGCGGTATTGGGGGCTCCCATGAGTTGCCACCGAATGGTGGTGGTGGTATCTGTTTACCAGCCTGGAACATATCCCTATCCCTATGCTGGGCATCTCCCCATCACGATGCCAATCTTAGGGATTCCCTTATTTTTTGAGGGCGCATCCCTAAGATGGTCATCGCCGTTTGGCGTGTCAATCTTAGGGATAGGGATAAGTTCGAGGCTGGTAATCCGTGTCGCCTACCGTGGTGGTGGCACCTGCTTTGCCGGGCTGCGCGCGCGGCCCGTCGGCTTTGGACCGCGCGATGGCGCTCGCCCTTGCGGCTGTCCGGGGCAGTGTTGGGCTTTCGCTTCCGATCCCCAGCCACACCAGGAGTGCGCACGCCGAATCGCCACGTGCATTTTAGATACGAACGAGGTCCTCTGTTTCACCCCAGGTGTCGAGCAGAGAATCGACTACAGAATGGGCTTACCCCCAAATGGATTTACCCGCCGAGTCTACATGGCAAATACGTATAGCGTCCCGCAGATCTACGAACATTCGAACGTGTTTCCTGTATAATCGGCGGGTTAATCAAGTTTGGAGTAACTCAATTCTGCAATCGGTCCCCTATTCGGACACGGAAGAGACACATTTGCCGTATTGATTGTCGGGCACCTTTGAGACCGTCAGCGGCAGGCGTTGTTGAGTTTGGGGGATTGCCTGGAAGAGAACACGGGAGTCGAAGAAAAAAAACCGCCATCAACATAACCTTTTAGGGCTCCCCGCGCAGATTTCTTGGATCCGCGCTGGGCCCCCCCAGGCGGCGCCTCCGGCGCCGCCCCTAGCGCGCTCCGCGCGCCAGGGAGAGGGGTCTGGCGCAGATCCGAGAAGTCCGCGCGGGGAGCGACAATAGTTTATGTTTATGGCGTGCTTCCTTCGTCTAGAAGAGCCAGGAGGGCGCACGCGCCGATCCTCTTCCCTGGGCGAGGGGGCGGCCCACGGCAAGGGGGTGCGGTGTCAGGGGGTGGGGTGCCTTTCCCCCTCACCCTCACCCTCCTGCCCCTCCCCCTCCTTCTCCTCCACCCTCCTGCTCCTCCTCCTCCTCCTCCTCCTCTTCCTCCTCCTCCTCCTTCCCTCCTCCTCCTCTTCCTCCTCCTCCTCCTCCTCCTCCTCCTCCCTCTCCTCCTCCCTCTCCTTCTCCTCCTCCTCCTCCTCCGCGTCCTCCTATCTATGCCTCCTCCTATCTAACTATTCCTCCTCCTCCTATCTATTCCTCCTCTTCCTCCTCCCCCTCCACCTCCCCTCCTCCTCATCCTCCTCCGCTTCCTCCCTCCTCCTCCTCCTCCTCCTCCTCCTCCTCCTCCTCCTCCTCCTCCTCCTCCTCCTCCTCCTCCTCCTCCCCCCCGCCCAGAGAGGAGCTCCCCGCCTTCGCCCCCAACAAGTCGGGCCAGCGGCTGAGCGCCGACTACATGCAGGAGGCCGGCCGGGGGTAGTCCGTGAAGGCAGGTCGCTCCGGGGTTCCAGAGACGGGGGTCAGGTCAAGCGGGGGTCGCCCAGATCGCCAGGTCTTGCAGGATGCTGCAGAGCCAGGGGGGTGCACTGACCCAGGTTCGGGTGCAGGATCTTGCAGGATCCTGCGAGGCCCGATCCGATTGACCCGGGCCTGGATTGACCCAGGTCAGTAGATCCCCGATCGTTCCAGGGCCGCGCGAAGCTCGATGATCTTCACGGCATGTTCGGCGGCGAGGGCAGGGCGGGAAGTGAAGACGGAGAAGGCCTTCTCAGAAGGCCGCGGGATTTCTCAGAAGCCCCGCGTGCCTTCTGAGGGGGAGGTTGTGTGTCTTCGGGGGTGGCAGAGGAATATTCTCAGAAGGCCGTGGGACTTCCGAGCCGAGCATTCCGAGGGGGCCCGCCCCTTCTCTTTCCCCCCCCCCGCGCTCGCCACCGGATTCGTTTACGGCAGGTTCACGCGGCGTTGGTGGGTTGTCGGCGCCAGCGCAGGCGTTCTAAAGGCTGATCTCTGCGGCGCGGAAGCACCGATGGGCATGGTAAGAACTTCGAGCGATCGAGGCCGCGATCGATTCGAGGTTGAACAACCGACGCGGCGTCAAAGCCTCAACGTGCTCCGACGCCGCGCGAACCTACCGTACTTAGCCCAATGTGTGTGTGTGTGTGTGTTTACCCCGTTCAGCCCCACAGGTAGATCATTACGTCGCCTGCGTTATACTGAGTGGTCTCGATGGACGTGCACGCTGGCGCCAACGCACCTCTACAGGGCAAGGGCCACCCGGAGGGGGTGAGGCCCCTCCTTGGAGGGCGCCCCGCCCTTTCACGTTCACCACCCCGTCCTCCTCCCAGTTCGCGAGACGTTGGGATGGGCACGTGAGGGCACTCTCGGAGCAAGGCTTCGCGAGGCACGTGGTCGGGGATGGCTTCCGTCGGCGCCTATCATCCCTTTGCCTCTTGTCCTCCCTCCTCTCGGGCTTCCCTCGTCCTTCACTCCCATAGGCGCTGACCAAGCCCTCTGGACTTGAGTTGTTTGTCCTTTTCTGTTCTTCGAGCAGATTTTGGACATTCCCGTGCGCCCGAGAGGCAGGAGGAGGAGGAGGAGGAGGAGGAGGAGGAGGAGGAGGAGGAGGGCGACGAGGAGCAGGAGGATGAACGCTGCCGGAGCAGAAGGAGGAGGAGGAGGAGGAGGGGGAGGAGGGGGAGGAGGGGGGGCAGGAGGAGGAGGAGGAGGAGGAGGAGGAGGAAGAGGAGGAGACCGATGAGGAGGGGGTGCTCGCGGGCCGCAGGCGAAGGACCACCAGACGCTCTCCGCCATGGGCTTCACCCCCACGAGGCTGGCCACCCTGCTGCTCGTCTACACGGGCGACCTGCCGGCGAGCCTGGCGTGCCGCCCCGCGCCGCTTCCGCGGCGATAGGCGTGACGCCCCGCCGCGCCCTCGGGGGGAACATCCGGCAGTGGCGAGGCGTCGCTGCTTGCCTATAGGCCAGCCGTGGGATGTTTCGAGCCCCTGAGGTCCGAGGAGGAAAAGGTACACGCAGGTCGTTGAAAGTAGATATTTGTGGATTCCCAGATCCCAATCTAGTTCAAGCGCCTTCCTACTTCAATAAGCGGCATAATTTTGGTGTGTTTTGTTATTCTCTGGGAGGGCCTGGACCCAATCCACTTGATCCGCCTTCCTACTTCATGTTTTTACCTACTTCTTCCGACCGACGTGTACCCATACCTCTACCCTCTCCTCGTTTTCCCCTTGTTGGGCCTCCTCGGAGGCCCTCGTCGCCACCGCTGGATTCGCCTCGAAATCCTTGTGGGAACGCACCCCAGGAGAGGTCTGTCTCCGCATGAGGTGGTTTGCACGACATGTTACTAGAACGGTTATGTTTCAGGCAGTCGGCTTTTGAATTGTTGGCTTATGTTCTAACTCCGTGTTGGCCTTCGAACATAGTTTGGTCCAGGGCAATTTCGTGGTAGGCCTACAGGGATGCCGGCAAGGTCGGTCCCTGCTCAAGATAAGGGAGCCGTCTGGCGTGCCTGCGGCGCGCGTGCCCGCGCGGCTGTGACGGACAGAAATCGAGGAACGAAACGTGACACGAAGCATAAGCTCTGCGATTCAAAGGTGGGGCCGTGCGGGACGGGGACCCAAGGATAAGAAGGGATGCGGGGGCGGATTTACATCGTTTGAGGCGCCTCGTCCTGAGGCCCGCATCCCTCAGGACCCCATCTTTGAAGCACCGACCGAATAAATATTCGGTAGTCCATGTGGACCTTTTGGATCAACGCTGAGGCACCCGACGCCGCCCCTGGCGCGCTCCGCGCGCCAGCGAGGGGGCTCAGCGCCGATCCAAGAGATCTGCGTTGACCTTCGAAAGCTTCTGCTTATGACATCTTTTGATCCTCGGAGAAAGACTTTGCTTTCGCACGCGCAGGCCTGCAGAAGAGAAATCGGCCTGGTTGTTTTGTGCCGTCGTCAGCCTCGCGCTCCCTTCATCTCACAGTCCTCCTCCTCCTCCTCCTCCTCATGATCCTCCTCCTCCTCATCATCATCATCATCAGCATCATCATTCTCATCATCATCATCATCATCATCATCATCATCAGCATCATCATCATCATCACCATCATCATCGCCATCGTCATCGCCATCGCCACCACCATAATCATCAGCATACTCATCATCATCATCAGCAGCATCATCAGTCTTATCAGCATCATTATGATCAGCGTCGTCATCAACATCAGCATCATCATCATTGTCAGCATCCTCATTATCATCGTTGTCATCATTAGTGTTACGATTGTTATTAATATTATCATTATTATGAGTAGTAGTCTGATTAGCATCATCATTATTATTATTATCATCAGCAGCATCGTCATTGTCGCCATCGTCGTCATTGTTACCGCCATTCTCATCGGCATTACCATCGCCACCATCCATCCTTCGCCGCTACCCTCACCCTTCTCGTCCTGCGCACCCTCATCATGCCTTTGCTCCATCTCCCACTCGTCTTCCCCGCCTGTGAGTGTTGCGCTCACCATCGCCATCCTCATCCGCTCGTCTTCGTCTTCGCGTTGCTGTTTTTCCTGGTAATTTCCTTTCGCTGCTTCTTTAGACTGTTGCTATCTGAAGGCCTTCGACCGCTGCCAGCGGTCCCCCTGCACCAGGCATCGAGGGATCCCTTGTCGTCGTCATCGTTGTGTTCTTCTTCCTGGCCGCCCAAGAGGCCTCCCCTTTCTCAGCGAACCCTCTTTCAACCTCTGGGCCGCCTTGATGCCTGGTTGGCATCTACTGGAGCCTCCTGGAGTCCCTTCAGGGCGTTCCTGGTCTTGGTGTGGAGATTGGGCGCGCACTCCTAGGTCATGCGGAAGCCACTTGGGGGTCTGAGCAGCATGCGAAGGGATTTCGTGCCTTGGGAGAGTGGAGCGAAGGGTTTGCGGCCTTGGGGGGCTCGGACCCTTTGTAGTTACAGGGGGTCCTGGCCCTGGGAGTGCGGATCCAGTGTGACTTACCACGGGGCACTGCCCCGAGAGCGCCCACCCTCCGAAGTTTGCAGTGGATCGTGACCTTTGGGAGTGCGAGCCCGTCTTATTGTGCGATTGCTTGTGGCCCCGGGAGCGCGGACCCATAGCATTGTGCAAGGCAGCTTGGCCCTCGGAACGCGGATCCAGCACGTTTACAATGGATCGTGGACCTGGGAGCGCGGATCCATAGTATTGTGCAACACATCGTGCCTCTTGGAGGGTCCAACGTTTTACAGGGGCCGCGGCCCTGGGAGCGCGAATCCAGTTGAAGTGACAAAATTATGGTGACCTTGTGAGCGCGGACCCACCGTGCTGTTTTGGGGATCATGAACCTGGGAGCGCGAATCTGGAGTATTGCCTACGGGATGGTGCGTCTGTGGTCTTTGGAGAGCGTGAACCCATGCGGCCAGGGAACGTGGCCTTGGCAGTGCGGACCCAGCGTGCTTTACTTTGGGCTGTGGCCCTGGGAGCGCTGGTCCAGCGTGGTTCACGAGGGATCGTGGCCCAGGGAGCGAGGGCCCAGCGTCGTTTGCAGGGGCTCGTGGCCCTGGCAGCGCGTATCCATAGCTCTTGTCCTCTTGTCATGTCATTGCGAACCCGGGAGTGCGGATCCGGTGCATATTGAAAGGGTTCGTGCGAGACCAGCAATCGTAAGGGATGCCAGGGCAGAGCAGGGCCACGTAGATTGAACCATTGCTTTCGATCTCTTGCGTCACACCACCAGCACTGACGCCAAAGCAACGTGACTGCGCACAGCCCTGAGGTCCCACATGGGGGCAGTGGATTTCTGAGTGCAGGGCAACATGGTCTTTCCTTTCCACCGACTTCACTCTCCCTTCACTCCTTCTTCCTCTACCGTCCTCATGCCTTCCCCCGCCCCTCCCCTATGTTACTCCTCCCACCTTTCTTTGCTCCTCCTTTCCCTTCCGTCCTTCGCGTCGGACGAAAGGGGAGAGATAATGAAAGCGGGGGGTATGCGAAATCTGCTGGCTCCAGTCAGTTCCGGTACCGCCGCCGAGTGCCTTCCTCGACACATTGGCGCGAGAAGGCGCCAGGAACATTTGTTGCACGTGAGTTGGTGCGCTAACCGCCATCTTCTATCCCCCCCTCCTGTTCGCTCAGCCCGACTCCTGCTCCTTTACCTCCTCTCCCTCCTTCCTCGGCCAGGCGTCATGTCGGTCGCGTCCCTGCGCACGTTAGTCGCCGTCGCCGTCGTGTCGTTTTGGTCGTCCTCGCGGTCGTCTACCGTCGTCGCCGTCGTCGTCTTTGGTGGCGCCCTCCTCCTCTGCCTGGGCCCCGCGCTCCTTCGCGCTCGGCGTTATGGGGGGAGGGCCGGGGGAGAGGGGGGGGCGTTGCGTTATGCCCCCCCCCCTCCCGCCCTCCCCCCCATAACACCCGTTTATCTTGGCGTCGCTCGGACGTGTGCATTCTTTCTCGGCGAGGACCATCCAGGAGCATCTTGCTGGGTCACCTTGCGGAAACAAACGAACTCACACACACACACACGAACTCTCTCTCTCTCACACACAAACACACAAACAACACAAACACACAAACAACACAAACGCACAAACACACAAACACACAAACACACACGCACACGCACACGCACACGCACACGCACACGCACACGCACACGCACACGCACACACACACACACACACACACACACACACACACACACACACGCGCGCGCGCACGAAACCGAAAGCTGCACGGGGAATGGACGTCCGAGCGATGGCAGGGCACCGCCACGAGTAAACAGTGCCATCGTACCCGCGAAGCTCCGCCTCCCCCCGCGCGGCTGCCGCCGCGGGATGCCCCATCGCCGACCGCCGCGGAGGACCGGCTGGCGCTGCAGGCCCGCGCGCGCGGCGGCCCTCGCCAGCCGTGCGGAAGCCGCCAGGATGGACCTCAAATAGATATTAACTTGGGGCTATCATGTTCTGGGATTGATGACCTGGGTTCATAGTGTCTCGCCCGGAACCATATTTCAACCTGGGTTTACACGGTCTGGGAATATTGATTGCTCCCCCGGGACATTATAGACTTTGGCTTATCATGTGGGCACACCTGCCGCAAACATATGTGAACTTGGGTTCATAATGTTCTGGGAATATTGACTGGGTTTGAATGTCCCGGGAATAGTGAGCACGGTGTTCATCATTCTGGAATCATGCTAATTATTATTTTCTCCCCAACCCCCAGGTTCGTCACCAGGTTTCTCTTGTCGGAATATTGACACCGGGTCAATATCTCCGGGAGATAATAAACCCGGATGTATAATGTTCCCGGATTATTGAGCCCGGGTTCATTGTTCTGGAAGGATAATGATTGAGCCTGGGGGGCGCTGTTTGGGGGTACGTTCTGCCTTGAAATAAGCCTTGGTTGATAATGTTCGAATATTCATTTTAGGTTGCTTATTCCGGAAAGATAATGATTCGGCCAGGGGAGGGAGTTGAGCCAGATCCATTCACAGGACAATAATCCATAAGGTATCATATGCAGATAATGAGCCTAGGTTTTCATTCCTAGACAATAAACCACGGTCGACGAGGATTTCAGAGCTACCCTCGAAGCCGCGCCGCGGGGGACGACGGGGGGGAGGGAGGGAGGGAGGAAGGGAGGAGGAGGAGGTGAAGGAGGAGGAGGAGGAGGTGAAGGAGGAGGAGAAGGAGGAGGTGCAGCAGGAGGAGGAGGAGGAGGAGGAGGGCACCTGGGCTTCGCCACCACTGTGGGGCCTCTGGAGGCCGCGGGGGGGAGGAGGAGTTCCCCCACGAGCGGTGCAAAGTTCATCCGCGCAGGTTGCAGGGGCACAGGCGGCGCCAGCCAGGCGGCCCCTCTCCCCCTCCATGTTCTGTCGTGGTTGTCGCCGCTGGGCCCGCTGAGTAAGGGCTGCCCCGTTTGCTCTGCTCTCGCCGCGAGGCGCAGTGGACTGAGGGGTTAAGGACGAAATGGAGGGATGACGGGATGAGGGGACATACGGTAGGTTTGCGTCGTGTCGACCAGCGGCGACCCCAGCGCGGGCGTTCAAGGTTGAACGCCGCCGGCGACCCAGAATCGATCGGTGTTGAACGATCGGACGTTGCGGCAGCGGCCGATCGTTCAAGGTTGAACGATCCCTGCGGTGTCAAAACCAACGCTGGGGTCGGCACGACACGAACCTGCCGTAGACGGGTGGAAGAGAGGAACAAATTGAGGAAGACGTTGAGCGTACGAGGACGAGGAGGACGGAAAAGGGGAATGAGGAGCGAGGGAGTATGGAGAGGTAAGAGGGGATCGAGGACGAGGCCGTCAGATATGGGACCACGCTCGCTCGGCAATGTTCCGACGCAAGACCGACGTAAGCCCCACGTGCATCCGACGTAAATCCAGCGTGGATCGGACGCAGCTTGTGTCTCAAGTTGCCGCGGGGCCTCCAGGATGTCGCTCATGAGGGCGCGGCTGGGGTCGCGCGGGGCTAGGAGGAGGATAAATCCGTTCTGGAGCGACCCGGACCGCTCTCAGAGCGTTCCGCAACGCTTTAAGAAGGCCGCGACGCCCGATACACCCTCCAGAGCCGCCGAATCTTTTATATTCTCGATTGACCCTCACCCGAATGTATCCTCGTCCTGGCTTCGACTTGTGGAACTCAAGAACTGGATCGCCAGCGCCAGAAGGCCGTGCAAACGAAAAAGCGCTAAAAGCTCTTGGAAGGAGCTTCCGAAGGAGCTTCTGGATAGCTTCAGAGCACACGTCTTCGGGAAACGCTCAGAAAAGGCCTGCCGAAGCACGCTGCGACTTCAGGCAACCCCCGACTAGGTGTATTTTCGGAAGCCAGAACGAGCTCCGGGGCTACCCTGCGCTGACGGCTTCTAATCTCGAACCCTCCTAGCTCTCAGAGAGCGGTCCGGGAGTTTACAGGATGTCCCTCGTGAGGGCGCCGAGAGGGCCGAGCGCCGGCGCAGCCTCCTATCGTCGGAGCCTCAAGCCTCGCAGGCGCCGTAGCCGGGCCCCCGTAAGAAGCCGCCCCCGTCCGCGCCCGAACTCCGGGGCCACATGGCTGCTGCTACGCTCGGCGCGCCGGGGAAGGGAGCAGGAAGGGAGGGGAGCGAGGGAGGGAGGGAGGGCGGGGCAGACGTGGAGATGGAGGAGGAGGAGGAGGAGGAGGAGGAGGAGCACAGGAGGGCGAGGAGGATCATCCTGGATGCGCAGTGGTAGTTTCTGACTATCCAGGCCAGTGCGGGAGAGGAGGGAGGGAGAGAGGGAGAGGATGGAGATGAGGATGATGCAGGAAGGCCGAAGGGCGCCCAGGGCCCACGGCTCCGTGAGAGCACTGGTGCCCTGAATCAGCGTCGGTGCCCCGTGGAAAGAAACAAGCGATCAGATGGGCCCACTTGCCCACTTGTGGCAGGCCGTTGTTTAATGGAGGAGCGGAGGAGATGGAAGAGGAAGACGAGGAGGAGGTGGAGGAGGGGAAGGAGGAGGAGGAGGAGGAGGAGGAGAAATATAGGAGAACATGGGGAGTAGGAAAGGAGGAGGAGGATGAGGAGAAGCAAAACAAACGGAGCAGGAGGAGTAGCAGGAGGAGGAGAATGAGGTGGAGGAGGCAGACGAGGAGGAGGATAGTTGAGAGCATAGTAAGGAGGAGGGCAGGTACAACAGGAGCAGGAACAGCAACAGCAATTGCAGGATATGAGGAGGAGAAGGACCGGGGAGGAGGTCATGCATGGCTTTTGGTGCGTCTTGGCGGCTTTCCGCATGGGGGTTCTCCCAGGATCTCCTTGTAGGTCCAAGGGTATAATGCGAGTTCCGATGGGCTCCCAAGAGGAGGAACAGGACGAGATGACGAGGACGACGAGAGGGAGGATGAGCAGAAGGACAATAATGAAGACGAGTACAGTCGGACCGAGGTATAGATCGAGGTCGGTTCAGGGAGGGTGCCCTAATGTTCTTCGTGCTTATTGGATGTCCTTGTGCACCTGGGGGGTACCCTTGGATGTTCTGTTTGCTTTTGCCGGCGGATGGTCTTATGCTCTTGAGGGCTGTTCTTCTGCCTGAGGTCCGATTGTAGTAAGGGAGCGGAAAAGTGTGTGAAGGATGAGGAGGGTCAATCGCAGGAGGAGGAGGAAGAGGAGGAGGAGGGTGAGGAGGAACCAGGATGAGTCGGAGGTGAAGACGGAGCGGGGATATCTCAAGTTGTTTCGCAGCGTTCTGCTGTTTTTGCTCCTGATGCCAAGGGTCACTGCATGTGGCCCACGCGCGATAGTTGGCATTGTTCTCCTCTGCCTATCGCCGAACCGTGTTTCGGATGGTTTGCCTCTTGGATGCCGTGCTCTCTTTCGTTGCCTCTCTTTCTCCTGTGTTTGTTCTCTCTCTCTCTCTCTGTTTCTATCTCTCCATCTCTCTATCTCTCCCTGTATCTCTTCGTTCTCGTCCCTGCATGCTCGCCTTTCCGAGCCTCCTGCGCCTTCTGCTGCCCTCCCCTCACCCTCCCCTCTCCGTCTGCATCCCTCACTCCGCCTCCCTGCCCCAGATTCCTCCTCCCCATGTGCTCTTCACCCCCGCGGCGCCAGCAAGGGCGGCACCAGCAGGGCATGGCGCAGGGCGTGGTGCAGGGCCTGCCCCCTGCAACACAAACAAAAGTCAGCACATGTATCCGCTGGGCTGTCTGCCGTGACGCGGGTCGTGGCCATGCAGAAGCGAAAGGCACGCATCGCATTGCCAGCCATGGAGTGTGCCGGGCGACTCAGCGTGCACAGCGACGGGTCATTCAAGAGGGAGGAGGAGACGGAACCCCACGAGAGGAGCCGTAGACATGCGTTTCGGCAAGTTCCGCCGCACCGGCGATGCGGTGAGCCAGTGCTTGGACGCAGTGGGCCAATCGCACAAGCTAGCGTGCAGATCGTCGTTCGGCGCAGGTCTGCTCGCAGCATGCGGCGCAGCCGGCGGACTGCGCGCGCACCTCTCCCTGCTGCACGAGATGGTGCACGGCCCCGCTTCTGCCGAGGAGATCAGGAGACTGTGGGAGGACAGAGGTTGCGCGATCCCTGCAAGACCTCGCGCGGCCGCCTTCCGAGAGGAGGAGAAGGAGGAGGAGGAGGAGGAGGAGGAGGAGGAGGAGGAGGAAACATTGCAGGCCCAGCTGCGCACCAAGCAGATCGAGGGTCTATTCTGGTGCGACACTCGGGGTCCGCGGGCCGACCCCGTGCCCACGGGCAGCATGGGCCAGGAGCTCATTCGTCCTCGGCGCAATGAACAGCCAGATCGGGTACGACCTTGACACGGTCAAGCTCGGCGACGAGAAGAGGAAGAAGGCCGCCCCGAGCTCCCAACACGGCTTCCCCACCAGGTAGTGGAGAGGCGGCTCGCGTCGACCGCGTCACAAGGTCGACCACCGCCATCTTTGCTCATCGGTACACGGGGCGACGTACCCAACACCCACGAGATCGCCAAGCTTCGCGGGCAACCACCGCCAGGCGCTACGTGAAAGGTGAGCAGTCGTGCGAGTTCTGCTCCAGCTGATTCTGTCAGTTCAGCAGCAGCATTGTTTGACGGCGCTCCACCAGTGGCCAGTCGGGCGCTGTCAATAGAGCGCCCGCTGCCAGCATGGTTTTTTTCCATAGCGCGTTCAAGAAAAACCTTCTCTGCAGCTGTTTGCCGCCACCGAAGGCGCGACGGACCTGTTCGAACACCAGAGTCGGACGGTATCTGTCCTGCCGCCCTGCTTGTCTCACCTCAATTCTGCCTGGGCGGACGCTGGCTTGCCATCCCGCTGGCTTTCGTAGCAGGATCCTGGCTCGCGCCCAGTCGAATATTCGTTGCCCGCTCTTTCTGTAGAAAAGCACATCTATCACACCCACCCCTACACGAATGTTCCCTAGCAGCTGTTTCCGCCCTCCTCTTTTCCTAGTTCGTTCCTCCCTCCCCTATTCCTTCTCCTTTTTCTCTTCCTCCTCCGCCTCCTCCTCCTCCTCGTTTTCCTCCTCCTCTTCCTCCCCCAGTTCCTTCTCCGCCTCCTCTTCCCCTTCCTTTTTTTTTTTGTTTTCCTCATTTGTGTTTTCCTTCCTCCTTCTTCCTCCCCCCCATTTCGGGAGACCCCAACTCGCGCTGCCGCTCCTCGAGCACCGCGGCGAGCCCGCTGGAGGCCCACCCGCCGGCGTCGCGCTCCGCCGCCTTATGGGCCGGACCCGTTTTTCCCTGGCGTTCCCCTTGTCCTCCTCCTCCTCCTCCTCCTCCTCCTCCTCTTCGCTTCCTCCTCCTTCCCCGCCCTCCTTTTCGCCCTACCTCCTGGCTCCCCTCACCCCTCTCTTTCATTGCCCCCTCCCCTCTTCCGTCCTCTCCCCCTCGCTTTTCCGTTCTCCCCCCCCCTCCCCTCTTCCGTCCCTTTTTCCGTCCTCCTCCCTGCCCTCCCTTGCCCCCTTCCCCCCTTTCCCCTCCCCCATCCTCTTTCATCCTCTCCTCCTCACCGCCCACATATACTAGACGCTCCAGCAGCTCACGACGAGCCTTGAGTGCGCGCGCGGCTTTCGAGCACATGTGTTATCGGATGCCGCCTGGCAGGGCAGCCAGAGAGAGCCGCGCCGCGCAGACGAAACCCACCCAGCCAGAAAAAAACTGCACCAGCAAAACAGACCATTTCCCCGGCGCTCGCTCCTGGACCGCTTGTTGATTGCAGCCGCCCAGCGCTCGCGCCGAAGGCCCCCAGAAACCGCCCCCAAACCGTCCGAAGAGCGTGTGGAGACCGCCGACGACCGCCAGAAGACCGACGAAGACCGCCCCAGGCCGATGGGCAACGAGGGGCCCCTGGGCGAACACGTCGCACGCACGGCAGGGTCCCCCGCGGAGGCCGGAGAGGCGGCTCTCTCTCCAGGAGGGCGGCGCGAGAGTGCCGGCGTGATCTCGCGTCGCGCGCCGCGGGGCGCGACGTTGGCCGACCCGGCGGCCCCTTCCAATGCCGAGGCCCGCCATCCTCAGGATTTGTCGTATGCAACACCCTACCCTGCCCGCCCCAGTGAGATTCCACCGCTGGGGCCAATTTCAATATATAGATGCTCGGGGGGGGGGGGGGGACAGACTTCCTACCCTGACACGTCGATTAGTGGATTGTCCGTTGTCAGTTGTCCAGAGGGCGCCGCGGCCGTCATTTTCCAGGCTTGCGCCCGCCAGGTTTTGGCCCGAGGTCGTTTTCACCAAACCACGTTTTACTAGAGGGGGGTCTGTCCATCCCCGAAAAGTCACGCCTAAAGGAGGGAGGCGTGTATACCAGACCCAGACCCAGGACCCTCGCCCGCCCCGCGGGACAGGGCAGAGCATGCTGGTTGTTCGGGCGGACGCCAGGCCACCGGGGCCAGGGCAGTGCGGCAAGCTGGAGTACCCATGGGTTGCCCTTCCTGGCAACCTTGCAGGAGACGAGGGGGGCCCACTCGGCCTGGGAGGGGGGGCCTCGACAACGATGATGACGACCCCCCCGCCACCCACACACCGCCACGACAGTGATGGCCACGGTGAATCGTTTATGGCAGGACAGCGATGACCACAACAGGTAAGTTGAGCATCGTTTATGGCAGGTCCGTTCAGTAAGATGACGGGAGCCTTGTGAACCCTCGCAATTCCGTCTTGAGAGTGCAGCAGCGCCGATTTGCGTCTCGTAATCGATGAGATGCGCCAAGTGAGTGTCGATCAGGGTCGATACAGTGTCGATGAACGTCGACTCGCAAGATCCTCCAAGATGGTATGAGAGGGAACCATGTGCTTTCAGCATTGTTCATGGTAGGTTCGCTTCGTGTCTACCGGCGGCGACCCCGTCGTAGGCGTTCATCGTTGAACGCCCTTGGCGATCCGGAATTTGCCGATTAAGATTGGTCTGACGTTTCCCCGCGGTTCCGATACCAACGCCAAAGTCGGTACGATACGAATTTGCTTAATTTTCGCCGATCTCCACTAGGACATGGTGTCTCAATCCCACCAGTTCACCCTGTCAGGTTGGGATAGGCCATGCGAAACCTGAAGGAACATGCATCCCCTCACCATATGGGGTCCGTTATATGATGCCCGTGGACGCACGGCTTCGTTAACATGTGATTCCTCCTGAACTCGAGCGTTTAGATAACCCACCAAGCCCTATAGTTTCTTACGCGAGCATATTGTCCCGAGGATAAGGCCGACAGGTACGTGGGGCAAGCATCGAATTGCAGTGGTCTGCTAAGTAGAGAAGGGATCGTTATGATCAGCCCGTGCAGTATCTATGAGATAATGATAGGCGGCGCAGACGAATTTCCCCCTTGTCATCCTCTGCGTCGGTCTTGTCCTCCTCTCGTGGCAATGTTGGCTCAAGGCTGAGAGTTCCACAGGGGAACAAGTGGACACCGCTGGTCCGCGGCAGTCAAGACCTCTTGCGGTCGGGCCAGCTCTTTCTTTTCTCTTGTAACTGACGTACGGAGTGGCGGGTAAACAGAGGTCTTTCTGCTTCCTCGTGCGTCGCGCAGTGCTCCATGGCGCCTGCTCGAGATGGTGATGGTCGTGCTCCTCCTCGGTGGCGCGATCGTGGCAGCTGTCGAGCTCAAGGCGCCAGGTGGGGTCACGCAGGCGCGTGAGTCCTCCAACCTGCCGACGGGGATGGTGCACCTCAACGGGCTCGATTGCAGTAGCAGCTTGCGCGCTCATATGAAGTCTGTTCGTCATGCGGGCACTGGGAGTTCAAGAGCAGGAGCCGCGGGGCGTGCTCCAAGAGCGGCATGACTTACACATCTGGCATCATGCCGTGCGAGAGTGCCGTGCGAGAGTGAGACCGCCAAGAGGGACGTTGGTGGTGAACACATTCCCGATGAAGTCCCTGACGATGTTCGTGAAGCAGCGGCCAGGTTGCTGGTATTTCGTCCCGAGCTGCAGGCAGGTCTACGCGAGCTCGCTCCGCTTCATGAGCCTGCCCCCGTGCTGTCTGCTGCTCAAATGCGCATAGGGCGCAGTATGCAGCACATGTTGAAGGTGCTCATCGCCGAGTCCCTCTGTGCTTGCATTGCAGGACGCTGCGCAGAGGAAGGCGAAGCTGCAGACCCGACGCGAGCAGTTCGACGAAGGCGACGAATGCAGCGCTCGCCGCTGCCTCAGCCCAAGAAGGAGCTGCGAGAGCTCGGGCCGAAGCCGACCGCGCGCCGCAGGCCTTCAACGCCCGAGGCGCGGATCGCCGCCGGCGCGGAGGAGACCCGCAGGGCCACCGAGGAGGAGCCCCGGGCCGGGGCACGGCAGGCCGCGCCCCCCTCGTCGCGCCCCGGGCGGTGCGCCAGCCTGCGCCCCCGGCGGCGCCGCGGAAGCCCTCCTCGGCCTCCGCAGGGCGGCACGCGCGTTATGCTGGTGACCCAGCGCCTGGTAGGGGAACAAAAAGTGGCATGAACATAACATCTCGGAGGTCCGCGCGGGTTTCTCGGATCCGCGCTGGGGCCCCCCGGCGGCGCCTCCGGCGCCGCCCCTGGCGCGCTCCGCGCGCCAGGGAGGGGAGTCCAGCGCCGATCCAAGAAATCCGCGCGGACCTCCGAGTTTTTATGTTTATGACACTTGTTGTTTCCCTACCTGAGGCTGACAGCGATGCCGGCCAGATGCATGTGGGCGCCCCCAGACTGCGCCTCCATGCCGGCAGAGGAGCTCAAGGGAAGCGGCGCCGGGAGCGCCAGTTCCCGCAGCCTTTCCTGGAGGCGTGCCGCACCGTGCATGAGGCCGGTTGCAGGGTCGACGCCGGCGCTGGTGATGACGGCAGTGGCATGGGGAGCGAAGCAGGAGAGTAGTCTGAACAGCTTCGGATTTATCGAACGCGTTGATGTGAGGCCAATCTTACGCCAGAAGAAATTGACAAACTCGAGACGCGTCATGCTGACAGGAGCCAAAGCTAGAACGGTCAAGCGTATCCGGGTGTCCCGTGTCAATCCCAACCCTCGATTTCAAGACGTGCTCAAGGCAGTTGCTCAGACCATTCCTGTAGCACTGATGTGTTTGTGGCACGCGGCAGGATCGTGAACCTAAGCTTGCAGCGAGAAACGACCAGAGGAAGAGAACGAGAGGCGTGAAGCCCGGTGTCTGCAACCTCACCCCGTGGTCGGCTACTTCATCTTATTTTGCGTCAGCAGTGCGGCAAGGAGCCGATGCGTTTTCCTGTGTGAACAGCGGTTGCAAGTCCATGAGCTCCCCGCTGCCAAGGAAAAGCGTGCTGTCATGTCCTGGAGGCCGCACTTCCGGGCAGGGGCCTAAGCCAGCGGGGGGCGTGACCCACGGGGGGGTCAGCCGCGCGTGGCTTAGGAAAGTTCAAGCCAATGTGGGCGAAGTTGAGTATCTCGGGTCTGGAAAAGGTTGAATGTCTCTGGCGCCCAGGACCAGAATGGCCGCGATGGTCGTTGGAGTTTTCTCTTCTGTCTCAGGCCTTGGAGTCTGGGGGAGAACCTGCCCGAGGTGGGAAGGGGCTGCATTTATCCAGGCCCTGGCCACTCATTGCATGTTTGCTCGTGTCTGCAACATTCGGGCGGGCGCCATGGGGCCCAGCGGCTCCCCCCTGCCAGCGAGTGCCCGACGTCTTGCGCCTGATATTTTCCTTCTGTGTTCGTCCGGGGCATACTTCGTGATGGTTTGCGCGCTGGCAACAGAGGGGCCGGCGCCCTTCGCCGACGCGGGCGCGCGCCATCCGCCCCCGTTTCGCGAAGCCCCGGCGATGGGGCACCCGGGTCGCCCGCAATGTTCAGGAGGAGAAAACACACACAGACGCAAGTAATCGTCCATTCCCAGGAAAATATGGGAAAATATGGGAAGTGGGGGGGAAGACAGAAACCCAGAAAATATGGGAAAATATGGGGGGGTATTTTTATTTGTGTGTATTTATTTGTGTGTCCCAGTTCCCCTTCAAATGTGTCGCAGCAGACCTCGTGCAAGATGCGGAGCAGGCCCAATACGGATCCACTTGGTTTCGGGCCTGACAGACTTCGGCGGGGGCGCTCCTGTACCAAGTCATGAGTGAGCAACCTGCTGGCGCGACGCTGATCCTGTCCAAATGGGGGGCCTAATCCCGCGCCGGCTGGAGCGTCTGGATACAAGCGCTTCCGTGCAGCATTTGCTCCGGCAGCGGGCCACCCAGAGCATGCGTGCACATGTCGAGCGCATCGAGCC